GCATACCCAACATGTTGGGGTTACACACCAGTGCCATTTATCCTGGTGCAGAGCAGACAAATGACCATCTATCCTAGGGTGGTAAGTGCTATTGCAGCACCTTGCCATAGTACCTGCCCACGTATACCCATGTCCCTTATAAAAGCATAGCTTTAACCCTGAGTTTTCCCAGCATAAGCCAACACCAGTTTCTACTAAGTTATACTGGTGTAGGGTATCCATTGGATTTCCACTTCTTGCACCAAAGTTGTCCCTAAAGTCCCTGTTCTGAAATGTGGCTGTAACTTTCATCTATTGGTTTAGGTCCTTATTGGGTGCCCATTGGTACTGATGGAAAGACTCATTGGGGTTTGCGTAAGGTGGGGTAGGCTCATGCTACCTAAGTCAGTCCTTCCATTATTACCCTAAATCCATTCTTGTTGTCTCAGTCCTTTTACACTTTATGTGCTAGGAATTGAACACACAATTATCTAAAGAAAAATAAAACACTCAGAAGTGTCCAAGTTCTGTTTTCAAAGACGGAAAGGAAGCTCCTAAGTCACTTCTGAAAATGTGATTTAGGCTCTGATGTCTCACCTGTTGCTTAGGGAAAGGTTTCACTTTTTTTCTTAGACAGAAGCATAGATGACCTCCAAGGAAGAATAAAATGCATGAAAAATTGTGTGTGTGCAAACTGTGATTGTTATTTCTGAGGAACATCCAAACGTTCTGGGAAATTATGAATGCACGCCTTTTCTTCTCCAGTTGTCTACTGTGGATGATATCAGCTTTTCAACCCATGTTGAAAAGCCCCCTTTCATGGTTTAAATCAATAGGGAAATGAATGGCCAGCTCAAGGGGGAGAGAAATCCATGACGTTGTACTAAAGGAGAGCGGCAACTATTTAGCTGTGGCAAAACACCAAACTGCATCGTGATTTGTTTGTTGTTCACCCATTCGGGTTGTACAATGGGCAGATGAACCGTAAGCATGGCCAATAAAGTGACCGAGGAGGCCTCTAGATAGCATTCAATGGAAGAGTCGTCCAGGGAATGACAGTGTCACGCCGGGATGTTTGCACCTAATCGGGAGCTTGGTGCTGCTGTCACAACACTTGAGCTCACCGAGTTACCTGGTTGATCGTGAGAGGCCTTTAGCATACAACGAGCTTGGGATTAAAGAGTTTCCATAAGTGCACCCTTCGGAAAAGCAAAAGGATGCCTTCATTTTAAAGGAACCTCACTTATGTCTGAGATCTTAGTGCTAAGAGGGGACCGAGAACAAGACCTCTATTAGGCTCCGAGGCACCATACTTGAATGCAATTAAGTGACAGTCCCTGCTCCAAAAAACTCAGGAAGCAAATAGAGGATGAGATAGAAATGGTGGAGATTAAATAACCTGGGTGTTGAGGAGAGGACGGGGCAGCAGGGAAGTGGTCCTTTTTGGCTTGCTCTGTCTTGCTGATGGAAAGCAAGTGTTGCCCATCTGATTTTTAACACTGGGAGCACTATGCATGTCAGTGGGGTTTTCTTTTCTTTTTTTTCCCTTAGATAAACGATGATCTAAAATAAATGGATTGGAAAATGGCATGAGAGCTGTGGGTGGGGGAAGAAAAGCATATGGTTTGTAATGCAATTGGTGAATAGCAGAGGCACACCTGCATTACAGTGTATTGGGCTTGGAGCAATTGTTTTAAAGAAACACAAATGGGGGTGGAAAATAGGTCATATTTTACTGAGCTTGGAGCTTTCTGTTTCCAAGTACGGGTGTTTGGCACATGCGGACAGCACTGATGTTAGTTTTTGTATGTTCCCCCTACCACGTTCTGCTTTGCCTTGCTTTATCTGCCAAAAAAAGAAAAATAAATCCACGAAATATTTGCCGAGTTGCATTGCTCGCAGGCTTAAATACATACATATGAAATCCCTGAAAGTGATTTGTTTCAAACCCTCTTCAGTTCCAGACATCTTTCTCACTCCATCTGCGTGTCCAAGTACACAAGTTCCTTGGGGGGGAAAAGCACTTATTACATCACTGAAAAATGCTGCAAAAATAGCTTTGCACTTGAGTTCCCATCCTTGGAGCTAACCCACATGGGGATCAGACAGATCCAAACATTTAATAACTTTTTTATTTTCCTTTCTCTTTAAACACAGGATCTCTGGTCGTGGAAGCAGGGTCACGTGGTCGATTCTTGGCAGTCAGCGGTTTGTGGAGCTTTTGCAGGTGCAAAGGATTATATGTTATACTGGGAAAGGCTAAAGAAGAAAGGGAAAAATGTGCAAATCTATTAAGTAGAGCAGAACAGCATTCTTTTGTAATTCTAGTTTGTTTAGCGGAGAAAGGATTCAGTTGTTGCTTGGGAGAAGGGAAGTCTCTTTGCAGCGGCGGGGGGAGGGCAAAATGACTGCGAAGGGGGTCCGCTTGAAAGACAACCAATTTGTTTTTGACAAATTTCTGTTGTCTCAGAGCTGGGGCCTGTCAGTCAGGCTTTCAGATTACCTCCAGGTTTGATTTGTAAGCTCCAGCATGAGAAGAGCCTTAGTTGGGTGCGGGTTTGTGCAGCTGTCTGCCCCGGGCTGTCCCTCGGGGGTTGGGGGGGATTGCGGTGGGAGGCAGTGATTCACCATTTGCCTGACAGCTCTGACAGCAGCGGAGATTAACTGGAGTCAGGAGAGCAGAGGGGTAGCACTGCAGCAGCCCTCGGGCGAAAGCCTGCCATGCCGGGGAACCGGCGGACAAAACATCTGGGCAATCTCGAGACGCTAGAGCACGAATAAAGAGTGGCAGACTGCAGTCTTGCACTATTTATTGCCAAACAAGCCAAAAGTTAATTGAATTCTTTAAGAGGCCTGCTGTCGGTGTTTAAAATAACTTTTAAAATATTCACTTAATTAATGGCTCAGACAAGCTACAGGGAAGGGAAAAACCGAACCTCGTCTTAATAGACAAACCAGATTAAGGGAAGAGTGGCCAGCAGTTTCCCTGAAGGAAGCAACAGAGAGTTTACAGTTCCAAATCGGTAACAGAATATCTGGAAAAATCAATCCTGTTTAAAAGACATAACAGGGGTTGTGAAGATGGCCATGATCAGAAACAAAGCGTATCCTTTTGCTGCTTTGCAAAAGGCAAGCTGCTCGATTGTCTTTAAGCCATTAAAAACAAGAATCTGCGTATCTCCTGGGTCCTCTAATGGGGTAGGAAGTTTTTTGCCACCAAGTAGTACTAGGTGTAATGGTTAGTAGTAGCAGTGGTGCAGAGCGAGCCGCTCATCAATGCCCAGAGCTCCATCGTGCTAGGTGCTGTGTGTATGCGTAGTAAGAGTTAGGTCATAAGCAATGAGGGGCAGGGACTAAGGGTATGGGCACACAAACTCGTTACCCTGAGATAAAAGGCGGGGTGGGGGCGCGTGCCCAGTACTTCACAGCAGCTTCACATGTGCAGGCCGATAGTTCACAGAAGCTAAACTCTGGCGTCTGTGTCCTCTTTCTTTGAAGGCTAAATTGCCAGCCACCTTTCACTGACTCTACTCTCGGACTCAGCGGCGCTTTACCTTTGCCTCTTCATTCTTCTTCCTCCCACGCTTTCCTTGCTGGCGTGTCTTACCCTCTTTCTCATTCACCTTCTTGTTTGCTTCGAAGCCCATTGGGATGAAGAGGAGTCTTTCAGCAGGGCATTGGGACAGGCCCTGGCTCTGATATCTCCTGTCTCCCGCCTGAATAGGATGGAGTCGTATGTTCGCTGAATTAGCCATTGCATCCGGCATCCTCTGCAGCAAATGTCAACTCCTCAGCTGCACTGAGGAGGTGGAAAAACCATTTTCCCTGTCTCTGAGTTGCGGATTCTGCAGGTAGACCCCATCCGAATGAACTGCTGCCTTCTGTTTGCAAAATGAACCTAATTTATGAGGAGCTCGAGCAGGGATGAAAACCAGTCTGGCCCTCCTGAAACCTTCTAAGTGTAACAGTATGTGTATATTGTACCAGAGGGCCTTCAGTTCACCACACTGAATTTCCCCATGAAAGCAGAGGGGAAAAGTTGATCCAAGCCACGGCTAACCCTGTGCTATAGCTGTGTTTCCAAATACCGCAGCATGGTGTTGAGACACAGAAAAACTTATTGGGCTCGTACATCTCTTGCGTTCTCTGCTTCACCACAAAATTTGCTAAAGCGCTTGCAAGGTCCTGGGGGTCCGGGGTGGTAAAGGAAGGAAGCCAAATGAGAAATCCTACTTGGCTTCTCCATTTTTTTTTTTTTTTTTAAATGTAAGTTGGATATTTTTTAGCTTACTCACCAGTAACTATTTGGTGGAAAAGAAACAGACAGCATCAATATATTGAATTCTCTCTTAAGAATTAATGCCGGTTTCATTAATGCCTATGACATTGCAGGTCAGGGCTCTCCCAGGAAGCCAGATTAAGTTGCTTAGTGTTTCTTACGTGCATGGTGCATTCATGTTTCCTTCATTTCTGTATATTGGAGGAAACCTCTGCCCCCATTGCCATGCAGTGGAAGAAAAAGCACTGGTTCAAGTTATTCCTCCTTGGGCCACATGAATAGCATGAAGGGAGAGCAGAGCCGGACAGGGAGTTTAGGTCCAAGAGGCCAGGATGCCTAAGCCAAGGGGCTACGGGGTCATACCAGTAAGTAGTGCCATGGCGTGGGATACGTCATTACCTATGCACTTCCTTAGGATTTCCTGTTTCAGATGGCTGAGCCTGTCTCCTAGAGAGAGCAGAAGTGCAAAGGACTTTAGATGTGGAGCAAGTATTAGCGTAATAGAGAGACTTCCAGTGGGAAGGAGCTGAAAACACTGCTGCTGCTTTGCTTAGAGAGGAAATAAATGAGCGGGGACACAAAGGGGTGTAAGATAATGGAGAGGACCAATAGGGCAGGGGTGAGGTCATTAGCCTGGGATATGCTTCACTTCCTGTCTCTGACATGACCCTGCCACTTAGCCCCTGCATGCCTCGATTTCCCATCTGTAAAATAGGAATAGGAGCACTTCCCTGCCATGCAGGGTGTCATTGCAGGGCAATGTGGGTATGGCAGGAATGAGCCAGGGAAGTCCCTAGGTTAGACAGTGAGGGTCTGCCCTTCCCCGTAATGCCAGAGTAAGGGAACGCGCTCCACTGAAAGGCAGCAAATTTCAGACAAACCCCCAAAATAACTTTTTTTAAGCAAAGTAGGATTTCACTTGTGGAGCCTCCTGCTACTGAAGACTGAAGACTAGCACCAAACTGGACAGTTTATAATTGATGAGACTATCCAGAGATATGCCAAGATAAAGACCCCGTTCAACAAATTGTACTAAGTTGTACTGGTATAGGGTATCCATTGGGTTTCCACTTCTTGGTCACGCCAGAACAAGCTTACACCTGAAGGCATGTCCCAACGGGGGTAAGGATGCAGTTCTCCAGGGGTCGGTCACGCCATTGTCGTCCAGGAGCAGGCTGCTTGCACCTTCCTTGCGGTGGGCTCCTAATTCTGGTCTCTGTCCAAGCAGGAGAGGGGTGGATTCATGCCCTCCCGCATCCTGGCGATCCCTAACTCCAGGAGAGACACTTGAGTACAGTAGAAAAGTTCTTCTTTCTTTTTCTTCCTTTCTCCATGCTGCAAAAGCAGTGTGGCACAGTATTAATAATTGATAGACTGTCAGCCACTCTCACTGCAAGGCTCGTGAAAAACAAAGCACCGATGAGAGCCCTTTGCACGTGAACGTAGAAGGCCTCTGTCATTTCCTTTTGGATCCAGTGAGCTCTGACAAGATGGCACGCTGTGTCTGAGAGCCTCTTTAACATGCAAGGCTGCAAAGACTGAGATTCATCTGTTTTAGGCTAGATTTCAAGCATTCTCTTTTGCATCCCCTCAGATGATGCTTTCAAGTCCAAATGGGCTAAATCATTGCAGATGAGACGCTGTGTCTCCAGGTGTCTGTGCTCCAAGCTCTTCCTTTTATAGACCACTTGGCACTTGCCCACCAGTAGGTGCGAGTTAGCCTTGTCCAAGGACTAGCACATGAACATCCTGTCAGCCTAGTGCATGCCAAATGAAGAGCTGATGAAATCATAGCTCTCAAAAATGAGTTTTCAGTAGGGAAACCACCTGTCACATGAGAGTTTCTAGTGGAGATCTGCAAGGATTGGTAGTAGGCCCCAATCCAACTTGATGGTTTCATCCATGATTTGGAAGGAAAATTGCTGCTCAAAAGCTCAAATGGAGATGCACAGGAAGGTCCATGGTCCCATCTGGGAGCATCTAGATGATGCCATGGTCCCATCAGGGCTCACCCCCTCTGACCCTGTGAGAGGTCCATGCACTAAACCATCCTAACATGTAGAGCTGAATTGAGACTTAATCGGTGCCTGGTCATGAATTTTACCCAGCCCGTGCTGATGACCATGATGACAACAGCTGCTGTGTGATAAATGGCTTGGTAACCCCAAAACTGGATTTCTTTGCCCGGTTATAGTCTGTTATATAGTTATAGTTGTGACATCACTGGGACTGTTGCCTTGTTAGCTGAAACTTGCCATTCAACCTCTTCTGGGAACTACGTTATAAACGTTATGAACATAACCTAACAATTACCCGTGGCATTCAGGAGTAAATTCAGGCTGAATTGATATGATCAAACTTGCTACCTTCGTTCCCATCATTGCTAGCCATAAATTTGAGTCCCAGCCGAGCGTATGCAAACTTGTGTTTAATTTAGCTGCCGTATTAGTACCTGTCATGCTCATAAAGCGCATTATTGCTGCTGTCATCGTTCTAAATCGATTTGTAAATCTGTTATACAAGTACTTCCCAATGAAGGAAGATGGAAGAGCTTTATGCTTAAGGACAAAATAACCTGTTTCCCCAAACAGCAGTTGGGGAAAATATGAAGAGCCTGGATTGATTCCTTTGGATAAGAACATGGAGGAATATTGCATTGGAGAATAAGTTGTACATAATCAGATCATTTTAGCAGCTGAGACTAACACTTCTACCAATAAGAAACACTGTTAGGACTAAAAATTCCTTAAGAAACCGCAGGGCCAGATGAGAAAAATAATTTAGCATTTATGAAGGCTGCTAATGACCAGAGCTAAGGCTGCCCTGAAGTTTTAGGACTAAAATCCCAGTGCTTTGCAATTTCATTCTACTCTAATCCTGTCTGTGGTTAAAGCAAGGCCATCTATTTCTAGTCCCGTTAATCCGGCACCTTGCAAGAAGGATTTTCTTTCTTTTTTTAGCTACTTTAAAAATATGCCATTGACAGTAGTACCAATTGTAACCAAATTGTCTGAAAAGGCAGCAGACCCCGTTGTCAAAAACTAGTGCAGAATTAAAGGACTTCAGATCTTTAAACGTGGAGCAGGAATGGGCTTGGGGCATGGCCAGTTTTGCTTATAGGGCTATATATTGTCTTGCCTAACGTAAACCCTTTTTTTTTTTTTTTTATATGCCTGTTGTTTTTTTATA